CTAAAATCTCATAAATTTCAATGGATGAGTTTGGTTCGAGCTTGATTCGAGTTCGTTCAAGCTTGATTTGAGTTGTAGTTCGAGCTTGATTCGAATTTGAGTTCGAGTTTGAGCTTGACAAATAGCTATCGAGTTCGAGTCGAGCTTTGATTTTTACTACTTGCAAGTTTTCGAATCGAGTTCAAGCTTGAAAATTAGGTTTCGAGTTCGAGTCGAGTATAGTGATACTCGAACTCGACTCGCGTCATTTACACCCCTAGCCATATACAATATAAAAACGCAGGGCAAAAATAAAAATATGTCATTATAATTTCTTTCAAGAGAAAAAGACAAAAAGTTCATCACTAAAATTATAAATAAATAATATCTTTATTTTGTAATCTAAAATAGAGTAAAATAACAAAGTTGTTCGTGGGGTTTTTGAGAATTCTGGTTTTCGCCCATAATTACTGGGTAAACGTTTATCAGGTGTCACTTACCCTATCAGGTGAGTATAGTAGGGACTAATAATCTTACTCGGTAAGAGACAACTTTTTATCTGGTAAACGAGGGTAGATTAGCACTTATCAGTAAGAAACGTTTACCAACAATTCATTTTAAGGATCGAGAATGTCAAGTAAGAAGGTAAGGGTGGTGACTCGTGCTAATACACGCTTACCTAGTAAGCGTTCGGTAAACGACCTTTAAGAGGTCATTTACCAAAATTTTATTAGGTAAGCACTTACCGAATGTCACTTACCCTACCGGGTAAACATGACAAGGATTAATAATTTTATCTAATAAGATACATAACTTTTATTTGGTAAATGAGAGAGTAAACTTTTACTTGGTTAGTGCTTACCAACAATTTGTTTTGATGGCCGAGAATGTTGTCTGATAAGGAGGTAAGGGTGGTAAGTCTTGCTAGTAAGCGCTTACACGGCAAGCGTTTGTTAAACAACCTCTTAGTTTTCTCTTATTTATCTATACTATCTTATTAAACAAATTTAGCAAAAGTCTTAAAATACTAAATGACCAAGATACCCTTTATACTACCCTTACATCACTTTTTCACTTTTTCACCCCCTCCTCTCCTCACATACACTCACCCTCTCACATTGAACCGATTTTTTTTTAATTATAATTTTAAATTTACACTTTATACTCCTATAATTAGTTAATTAATTTATTTTACGTCTTTTACTTTTAAATTTTTCATTTTAAACTTTTATCAAATTAACATACATAATCGTATATCAATTAAAACATGTTTAAAAAAATACATTTTTATTTTAACAAGTTACACCATTATAATCGTCTCGTTAATACCTTCGAAATGAGCCCAATATTGAATAGTTTTTGACTTAATTATATATATATATATATATATATATATAGGGTATATTTCTTTTACAACCTTGTGCATTGTGAAAAAATATTTTTAATATTTATGATTTATACTTTTATAGTTATTTATTTATATATATACTATATATTTTGAGGTTAGGCTGTCCAAATTGTACTGTATAATATGTTCTGAATTAATATGTTCTTGGGTTTTTTTGAAATATATATATATATATATATATAAATATACATGTATTAATTCAACATTAATCTGAGTTTCTGGACAAGAAAGAGGGTAAACAGTTGAAATTTCATTCTAAAACCCATCTTTTTTTGTCTTTTCATGGATTATGATCTGTCAAATTTGTAGTTTTCTTTATTGGTTTTGAGTGTTTATCTTAAAACTCAAGTTTCTTGGTTCTTTGTTTTTGGTGTAAATCAAACACATTTGTGGAGTTGTTTAAATATGTTGGATTTTAAATATATTGGATTTTAAACTGTCATACAATTTTTTTCATCGATAGTCTGTAATTGGAACCATAACTCTTATTTATTCAAATTGTATTAATATGTAAAGACCAAGTATAACTCATATCATCGTTAAATCTTATCTTATAAAACCAGTTGAACTTCAAAATCGATAAAATTTATAGCTCCCGCCGCATTGCGCTGGCACACAACTAATAAATATATTAACAACTTGTACACGAGCTTAAAAGACGTGTACGTTACTTTTTTGTAATAAGAAATGTCAAGAGACCAAAATACCCGCACATCTCGAGAGCACTTAACGGCAACAACTAACGACTCTTATGATCATGGATGGTTTCCTTAATGATAGAAAACCCCAAATGATGGTTCTTACAATATCCAAATCTAAAGGACGAAAACGATACTTTAAACAAATCCTAAGGATTAACTTTGTAATACACTATAATAAAATTTTGAATTAAATAAATTATAACAAAAAAATGATTATTTTTATAATATTTAATTTAACATCAATAATGATATATTTCCATTTTATTCAAACATTAATTTCAAATATATTGATTTTTCAATTTCGGTTTATAAAAAAAAATTACATCATGTTATAATACACAAGTACACAACTAGTAATCATATATCCATCTTTATTCATATTCTGTAATCTCTTTGGTCGGTTTATTTCACGTAAAAGATAAATAATAATAATCACAAGGATTGTGTCTGATTGGTTTAAGCTTGAGCTCAAAAGGTCAAAAATGTCTGGAGGTCTCAGGTTGAAATCCAAGAAGGAATAAAAATTCTCTTGTGACCACGCAGGTTCAAATGCGGTGACTCTGGACTACCTACAAAGAGGATGGTCACCCTGAAATTAGTCGCATCACATAACGGATTAAATATCTAGGTTTATTAAAAAAAGTAAAAGTTATAATTTTGTCATAAAAACTAATTTTCTTATATGAAGTTGATAAATGTAAATGACCCTTCAAATTAAAAAAAAACGCCTAAAACCAACCAACGAATCCAAATCTCCATCATGCATATGGAAAATCCTGTTTTGTAAAGCTATTATTTAAATTTCGTGCCTATCACCCACATGGGTAATAATACTCTCCCACACCTACCCTCACTTATTCATAGTCAAAGTATTGTTTGTTTTAAAAAAAAAAAAACTTTTATCTATCTTTTATATCTGATTTGTTAAGAGATAAAGTCATTTAAACTGTTTTTTTTTTAATTTTTTAGAGGTGTTTAAGTTTTTTTGTCTATTTATATGGTAAGAGGTAAACCAACCTCTTATTTGCTTTTTATTATTCTCCGAACCCTTAGCAATAACGTTTCTTAATCGATTAACTTTAATCAATCATTCTTCAATCGATCCTTACCAAATTGATCTTCATCTTTCTTAATCGATGTATTTTAATAGGATTTAAATGTGTTAAATACCATTAATGACATTATTTTCGGTTAAATGAATGCTAATTATATAATTTAGATGTAAATTTCATAAAGATGATGAATAAACATGTGAAATTGTATAAATTATATATAAGTTCAATTATAATATTTTAATGAGTAAAATGGACAATTTAAACAATTCCAGACATTTATCAATTTATAGAAACAAAAAGTCTTATTGATTCAGATTTCAGACTTCAGCACCATCTTTTATCAATCAAAAGTGAAATAAGACTTCAGAATTCAGACTTCAGCACCATCTTTTATCAATCAGAAGTGAAATAAGACTTCATAATTCAGACTTCAGCACCTCTTAAAATATAAACGTCTCGACGGAATACATAAAATTATTTCTTTCTTATTTGTGTTGATCTTATAAAAAAGTAATTTCTAGTTAGGATATACATCATACGAACAAATAATGTACATGAAGTAATCTCCTCAATACAAAGAAGTAAAAGCTATCGAAGAGACTGTCCCACTACTGCCAAACCACAAATACGAACTAGAAAGAAATGCATCAACAAACGTTTATGAATAATAACTCTTTGCATATGAAAACAACAAAAATCGCTTCAAACTCATAAAACCTAAACTTGACCCGTGTAAAAGCTTTCAATCACGATCTCCACCATCGGTATTGAAGAACCATGTTTTTGGTAGTTGTCCAAATTTCATAATGATACAATGCAAATTTTACACGGTTGTACAAATCTGATATTGGTTAATAAAAACTCTGGTGACTGTCTATTAGCCGTTTCATTTCACTCATTATGCGTACATATTCTCATATAGGGAGTAAAATGAAATATTGGTTTACCTATTTGACGAATTACTTGAGTTATTTATTTCAATAAGCATGTTACAAAAATAAAGGCAATCCCAACCAAGAAAAATCTAAACCCTAACCCCTTCCCAATAGAATATTAGACTATCGACACATAGTCCTCTTTGCGTCCTCGACCACCATATCTTCAAATCCCTCCTCTTTCATCTTATCTCAAATATCGCCTAAAGTGTGCAAATGTCTTCACTTCAACGAGATGTCTTAAGGGCCGTTTACCAAGCATTTATCCGGGTAAGTTTTACCTCAACATTATTACTTGCTTATTATGTAAGATTTTAATCCACCAAAATGGTATCAAATGTAACAATTTACCCGGTAAGTGTTAACCGTGGTAAGAGTCATCGCTCTCACTTACCAGGTAAGACTCTCGATACTTGCCTTTGCTCTTACCGGGTAAGATTCATGGTATTTACCATATTCATCCGAATGTAATGTTACTTAATAAGCACGTATCCAAATAAACGTTTGATAAACGACCCCTTAATTGTCTTACTGCGGATCTTTTCCTCTTTTCTTCCAAAATAATTAATGTGAGCGCTGACCTACAAAGCAACTAGCGGTGCCAACCGCTAATCCCATAATTATTATTTTTTTATAGTAAAAAAATCATTTTATTTTATATTATAATAATTATTTAATGTTATAAGGTAAAAAAATTTGGATTTGGCGCTTGAAAAAGTTTAGACTAAATAAAAAATACAATATAATTTTTTAAATAATTAAAAAATATTAATAACAATAGACTCGGATGCTTCTTTTGACCAATTCAAAAAATAAATAAAAATATAATTATATATTTTGCAAAAAGAAATGGAATTGCTTTCCATATTTGGTGGGTCCAGATTAACTACTCCCCGTACTCCCTTTTTCAGTCTCACATTAACACAAACATGAAAGAAGCTGCTTCCATGCACTTTTTGATCTCCTCTCTCCGTCCCAAATGTCGATCAAATCCCAAATTCCACTGAATTCTTGCCAAAGAACCCCATAATTTCCCTATCGATCACTGTAATACATTTGGTTGATCAAATTTATCAGCATATTGTAAGGTTAGAGGTTGACTGCCAGAGATGACAATTCTTTACACGCTGGTGGCCAGAGGATCTGTTGTTTTGGCGGAATACAGTGGGACGTCGACGAATGCCAGCACCATAGCCAGGCAAATTCTCGAGAAAATACCCGGAAACAACGATATGAATGTTTCGTACTCGCAAGATCGGTATATTTTTCATGTTAAGCGTACTGATGGCCTCACGATTCTCTGTATGGCCGATGACGTTGCCGGAAGTAAGCTAAAATCGCATCTCTGGATTTTATGTTCTGTCTGTTTGCTTCAAAAATCATTTAATTGTTATAAGATTAGTTCATTATATGTGTATTTTGCAATTCTATTAGAAGGTTGTGATCATGTGATTTCATTTAGACAAGATCGCAGTATCATTTTTCTGTCAACTGAAATTGAAATTGAAGCTAGACATGTTCTTCTATTGCATATCTGATAAGATTTGGATAATCTAGGGTTCTTATTTAGAGCGGCATTGTTGCCTAGGCTGTTTAATTTGTGTATAATTTGAAATCTGATTGTCAGTCCTCGGTTCACAGTGATTCATGTATTTGTAAAATCCAAATTTGATCTGGAGATTCAGTAATTCTGCTAATAAAGTTAGAAATGGAACTATCATGAACTTTATGACATAATCATGAGTGATGATTTTATATGGTGGATCACTTTCCTTTTTGATTTACAGCTGTTATTTTGAAACTGAAACCTAATGACATTATGCAAGTAAATTTTTACAGGCAAACACACAAAAGTCGTTGCACTTTTCTGCCTTTCTCAATTGAATGTTCACACCAAACTGATTTATTGATTAGATGCTTCTCCTTCGATATTAATATAAATTAGATCATTCTTTTAATCAAATTAACTAACATAAATGATCTGTTGGTGACAAAATGATATGGGAGAAAACAATTTAACGAGAAAATGTTTCTCATCTCAACTGTTAATTGATGACTATGTTAGTTATTTCAAATAAAATTGGACGAATATGATATAGTTCATATGATTACGAGAGCATGATTATGTAAATTATAGATATCTTAGTTCAAATATATAATTGAAAAACGTATTTCATACGGTGATATGTTATCTATTTCGTCTTCTTTCTATGTATAGAACTCCAGTTCTACAGTTAACTTAAAAATTCCAACTGATCCATTTCAGATTATGCATTCTTTCAGTGTTGAACTTGAAAACATGAGTCACGTGATCCTGATTGCATATATGGCTTTAAGAGCTCAACCCTGTTTCATCATGTTGGGTTCCCAAAATTCAAAGAAGTTGTAATTGCAAGAACTTAAAATAAATTGCATCATCGAATTTGGTTTGCTATCATTTGTAGATAGATTGAGCCCAAGGTCAGTCAAAATTCCAAATCTAGCCATCCTTGGAAGTAAGCAACTATTTAGGACTCTAGAGATAATCTGAAGGTGACATGATATCCCCATAACAATCTATATAGGCTATAGTTGTATAGTAAATATCAAAATAAGTTAGCAATGCTTTTGAAGGAGATTAATGAATGGTTTTCACAATATGGCAAATATTGGTAACATTTGTACATATTTTACAGGACGAATTCCTTTTGCATTTCTTGAAGACATTCATCAAAGATTTGCTAGGACTTATGGTCGAGCAGTCCTATCTGCCCAGGCTTATGGCATGAATGATGAGTTTTCAAGGGTTCTGAGCCAACAAATGGAGTATTATTCAAATGATCCCAATGCAGATAGGATGAACCGTCTGAAAGGTGAAATGAGTCAGGTCAGTTAGAACTCTTAACTCAAAACATATATTCATTCTATATGATTAAAGATCATGGTGTAGGGGATGGGAAAATTGGCCAAGATTCTAACATAAAAAAAAACAAATATCAGGGTTTTTTTGCAAGTGTTTGTTCAAAAATCCAACCCGTAGCTCCTACGTTGAGTCTAAAGAATTGCAAGTGAATTTCAAGAGTTGCATTTATCATGATTTCATTGCAAAATAATAAATGTATTTATCAAAAGCAAAGACACCATCCAAAGTTATCTAGTCGTTAAAAAACAACCATGGTACATGGTCAGGTTTTGGTGAAAAAAATGCAAGAAATTTCAAATTATGCACAATTAGTTAATGGTCTTTAGTCAATAAATTTCAATATGATTTTTTTTTCTAGATTAATAATCACCAGACGACATTGGTATTATAGATATTTAAACGTCATATGTAGGATACTTCTATTAAGTATGTAATCAAATGTCATACTTTTTGGGGGATCAATGGCGTATTCTTTATATATGTGTAGGTCATTGCCTCTTTGATCTTCCAATAAATAAGATGAAATTTAGCTTATTATATTGCTTCCTCTTGCATGAGAATCTGAAAATCTGCTGGTGATTGCAAGCATATGTGTCTCTGCAAAGGCAAACGGTTGATTTGTATAACGGGGTCCTAACTTCTAGATCATGCTTATTGATAGTGATGTTATAAACAGGTACGAAATGTCATGATACAAAATATCGACAAAGTTCTAGAGAGGGGTGATCGCTTGGAGTCACTTGTCGATAAAACTGCCAATATGCAAACTAATACGTTCCGTTTCAAGAAACAGACTCGAAGATTCAGAAATACAATGTGGTGGAAAAATGTCAAGCTCATGTAATTTCTTTGAACTATACCTTTTTTCTTTGTATTCTATTTGCTAACCCTACATGCTTTCATATTTTGTTGATGACTATTAATTCTCTAACCATAATCCTTAGGGGGTGCAACTCTTTAAAGGTATATTGGCTGCCCTCTTACCTTGTTCCTAAATTATCTCCCAATCTCCCACGAATATGTGGAGATATGGGAGGTATGGTTTTGGTCTTTTAGAAGGATGAACGAACGAAAATTCATAAAAATTATAAACTTAAAACAATAAAACTATACAGAGAGAGATAAAGAGAAGAAAGGGCGGACAGGGCTAAATAGCAATTTCTCCTTAATAGCTTAGAGTATTAAGGGCACGTTAAGGGCCTGTTTACCTAACGCTCACCGAGTCATTTACCTTAACGAATGAGCATGACAAAGACTGATAATCTTACCTTGTAAGAGGCATCACAACAACAAAGGTTCTTACCTGGTAAGTGAGAGAGAAAACTTTTATCCAATTAAGGCTTAGTGGGTAAAAGATACTTACAAACAATCCATTAGAAACGTTAGCTAACAAGGTAAGTGAGGATGGTGATTCTTGTCGGTAAGCATTTGGTGAACACCCCTAAGTAAAATAAAAGTATGATTTATGAAGTTCTAATACTTTTAGTACGGTATTTCTTATAAATTCTTTATTTACTTTAAGCATTTTCTCTTATTCTAAAAAACCTTATCAGAATGTGAATAAACCTCATATGTCATTTTTCTCACATTGGACTTTAAATGCAGGGTTGCCTTGGTATTTCTTCTTTTGGTGATCGTGTATATCATTCTGGTGTTTATGTGCCACGGGTTTGCACTTCCTACTTGTCTAAGGTGAAGATCAGATCCAAATGATTTGGTAACTCCAATTCTAGGGTTTTGAATTAAAAATCTCCAATTTCATGAATCTGACTCTACTTCAGTGTTTCTTGTCCGCCTCATGCACTTTTGTGATGCATGGGCATTTGTTTTCTTGGTTATTTGAGTGAACATGGTAAATTTTTCATGCTTAGAAAGCTCTATTGCATTTTTCAATATCTTCTACTCTGAAATTTTAACAAATTATTCGGATTGATCTGTATTGCTTCTTTTTAGCACATAGGAGGAATATAATTTGTCGATGAAGTATAACATCCCAATTCCACGATGACTTCATAAATGTATGTATGTATGTATGTATCCTACGAAAATGTGACTTATATATGAAACTGGGAATAAAATAAAATACAAAATGCAATAGCAAAACAAACAAGTGTTCAATTTAAATAGTAGCGGTTGCTCAAGGATATACATTGGACTTACCCGACAAGAAAGTTCGCTACCTTAGAACTGTTACCGTTATCGTTATCGCCAATGGTCGCTAGGGCAGAAGGTTTGAGAACATATTTATTCCGACTGAGAGGGTAAGTGATGTGTATCATGCACCTGAATTTACAAGGGTTGCCTGGTTAAGTTCAAATTTAGTCGAAAAAAATGTCATATGTATATATTGTGTAGAAATGCCATATAACATAGTTTGAGGGCCAAATTAGGAATAACAAAACCACAGGGGCTTGTACCGTTAAATTCAAAAACATTTGAAATTTCAAGATTGGGATGAATCCCGTTTTGCACGGCCAACTTTGTGCGAAAAATCCATGCAGGTCGTCCATATATACAGCCCAACGATCTGCCCATGGTAATCGTCATTAAATCTAGGGAAAAATCCCCAGTATATTTACTTAAATCGAGCACGAATTGAAGCGAAATTCGACCGAGAAGTGAAGTTAGGGTTCCTGAGTATATCGTCGAATTGAGGTAATTTTCTATGCTAAGTTCGACTATTTATTAGGTATGTAGGCTCTGTTTTTTATGTATGTTCGATTATAAGATCATATTTGAACGGAGGTGATGTGGTTCAAAACCCGTTGTCACTATGATTACTTTATTTAGGTGCTAATCCTTTGATATAGTTGTCAAAATCTTATGTTAAGTGATCGATAGACTTAATACCTATGAAAAAATGCAAAAAGAAACGGTTTTAATTTGGTAAAAAAATCAACCTAATTGTCCATGAAAGTCCAACATCGTTGTTGTATCGTGATTTAGATGAAAATACGGGTTTGAGTTTTGTGGGTTTGGCGAGTTATCTTAATGGGTTGTAATTGAGTCTACATAATTATATAAATTATGATTGTGGTTTACTTAAATTTTGTGCATTGTCATTCGAGTTTCGAAACTATATCAAGATCTTTAATATTTTATAATTTGGTTGGGATCCAATGTGTTTGGCCCCAATGAGGAATTAAAGTATTCATTAACTTCGTTTCACTTGAAAACATGAGCAAACATTTGGAATTAAAAAAAACTCGATAAAATTATACAACCATGCCCCCTCGTTTTCTTCCCCAGCAAAGCAACACAATACCACCATTTTGAGATGTTTTTGGCTTAAAATTTTGGGTTTAGTATTTGAGTCTTAGGTTTTGATTTTCGATTGAAATCTTAGGGGTCGTTTACCAATTTTTATCCATTAAGCGCTTACTAGACCTCAATATCTACCAACTTTTACCAAGTAAGCGCTTACTAGGCCTCAATATCAGTTATCTTACTGAGTGAGATTGTCAATGATCAAAAATCTTACTCGATAAGAGATATAATAATGACCGAAAGTCTTACTTGGTAAATAAAATCATTTATTTGATAAGTGTTTATCAAATAAAATATGCTTACCAACCCTCCATTTTGATGATCGAGAAAATACTACCCAATAAAGTAAGTGAAGATGGTGACTCTTATAACACCCATGTCCCTATCGTAATTTCTCCAAACCAAGAAGCAGATGTCAAAGCACTTGTCTGAGTCTCACCCTTTAGATGAGATCCTACCTCTTTGATAAGCACTTGTACTCGTTAGTTGTAAAAAAATCAACAATTAATTAAAACAATTATATTGTAAAAGTACTCAAACTCTCCTATCTTGCAATTGTTGGATTTTAGGAGGTGTTTGAGATTGTTTATAAAAACAACTTATTGATTTATTTAGGTGTGTCACCTATAATAAATATTTTTGAGTATTTGGATAAACAACTTATACCAGTGTCAAACCGGTAATAAGGAGTTTTTGAAAAAGTTAAACTCTTCTGACTTATAATAAGTTGATAAATGTTTTTGTAGAAAAATATAAGTTGTTTCAAATATAAACAATCCCAAACACCCCCTTAGTTGTTGAAAAATAAACTTATATATGTGTATTTGTTTTGTGCTAGAATTTGACTCACTTCTCTCGTAGATGTTCTTATTTATTTGAAAAGTGGTTATAACCACTTTATAACCAATCATTTTAATTTAATAGTTTAAATGAGTTCTTCCATTTTTTTTCTTAAGTTCTTTCTGAAGTATTAATCCTCTTATATGCATTTATAAATATAATCAAATATTAGATAAATATCTAATTTTAAATATAAAAAATCTAAAATATAATTAGGATAATCATTGAGTTCTAACAGAATACTTAATTATTATTATTCTTATAAAAAATATTATATTATTAAATCCGTTAAACTAAAACTTATCTTTATAAGAGAAAACATTATATTAATTAAACTTAAAAAATTAATTGTTTACTAAAACCAAATTAAACTATAATAAAAAATTATAAAATAAAATGAGGTCTTTAAAATTGTTAATATGATTCTAATATCTATATTTTCTTTTTAATTTTTTGATTAAAACTTCAAATTTATATGTTATTTAAATATAAAAATATTATCCTATTTCTTAAATCATATAAAAGCGATTATAAAAACAATAAAAAAATAAAAATAAAACAAAACATGAAATTCAAGATAATCTCGCTCTATTAATTGCACGAGGTATATATATATGCTTCTAGTTTAAATAAAAAAAATATAACAATAACATAAATTAATAGATGAAATTATGATAATTTTACATTGAGCCTTCTTAACCACACTGAATGAAACACCATATCTATCAAATCATATGGTTTTGATGGTCTATGAATTATGAAATGTCTTTGCACCTTCATCACCATTTTCTGCAATTTCAAGTACTCATCCATTCCAATCGCTTCCAAGATTTTCTTGATTTCCGGTACCTTTGCCACCGGAACTTCAACGGAGAACTTGCTCCAGTCAAGAACATCACTGAACGGTAACACATAATGGTCGGAAACAATCACCGGAACACAACCGGCGGAGATTGATTCCACTATTCTTGGGCTTGCTACTTCATACCCACTAGGGCACAAGCAAAACTTTGCCCTACTCATTAAATCAGAGTAATTTAGGGTTTTTGGGAGGTAATTAAGGACTTTAATTTCTTCATCTTTGCCTTCCCAGATATCGAACAAATACTTTCTCACATGCCCGTGGTTTCCACCGGCGAAAAATGCAAGGATTGAGCGGTTTTCAGGTGGTTGTCCGACGAGGGGTGGTCCTAGATGATAGTAAGGAATGTTGATTTCCGGCAAGGAGACATCTCTTTCTGGCTGGAAACCTTCGGAACTATTGGCATTGCAAAGCACTCTGATGAAGTGTTCGTAGAGTTTAGGGTTCGTCGCTGAAACATCCGGTGCCTAAAAAAAAACAATCATTGTAAAAAGGACAATTAACGTGCGTTTAGTACGATGGACAATACAATATAGTACGTAACTTGTTGTCTAATGTGTGGTGTGACAATTAGATTGTTACAAGATAAAGACAGAGCGAGACAAAGATACATTTTTTCTATGCCATCAAAATAGGTGAAACAAAAATTTGAAGATGAGACAGACTTGATAGATTATTAAACTACCCATTTCAAGTTAAAAGCTTAAAATATACCACAACTCTTTTACGTATACCCGTCTAACTCAGTCTCGCTCAATCGCTCATCCAGACCCCAAACACACCTTGATCAACATCAACCAAAAATATGCTTAATTGGTATGATTCACTACAATAAAATCGGTTTTATAGGAAACTCTCAAATTCTAAGTGTCCTAATAGACCTCTTTATAGGACTTAGTTTATAGGACCAAAAAAATAAAGTGTCATTTCTAAAGGTGGTGTAAAAAGTTTATATGACGTTTTTTAACGACGTAATAAGTTTTTTAAGAGACTTTAATATAAAGCGTCTAATTATCAACTTTATAAAATACTATTTGAAAAATTGTCCTATAAAAACAAATGTCGGGTATTTGTTGGACAAAGTTATTGGATCGATGGTCACATACCCAGTCATGGCAGCTAACAAAGAAGTGATCAGCTCCACTGCTTCTATTCCAATAAGGGTATTTGTTGGATAAAGCCGCAATATAATCAGTAACAACATCTTGGATGATTCTACGATCGTAATCACTACGACTTTTGTAAAGATAATGTCGAATTGAAACCACGCTAACCGGGAGGAAGAACACAAGGGCTTCATTAGGGTTTCGAGCAAGAAACTGGCTTTTTCGACTCTCGATTTCATCCATAATTTGGCCTTCAATGGAGTAGATGTTGTTCATAGGCCCTCCATGGAAAATGGGTAGTTCTCCTTCCTTGTATGCCCATACTTTGAAAATCTTCTCCATCTCTATGTGACTCCTGTGTTTTAGTTAATAACTCTATTAATTTATCATCATTTTGATTGATTTTTGAAGCTAAATTCAACAACTACATTTCCATAAAATATCATTTTTATCAATTACATATTTATATAAAAATATATATCAATCACAAACTTATATATATGTTTATGGTTATATGGTTGGGTTTAAGTGAGAAACATAAGATAAGAAGAGATTCTCACTCTTGAATCAACACTAATTGAATGTCAACACTAACGAAGTGCAACGAAATTTACCAGATCAATTCCCTCTAAAACACAATTCATGAGTATGCATGAGATTAAAAGTGATCAAATGTTTAAATTTTTTCTTACGTTTCTCACTATATATAACTTCTCTTCTCACACGATCCTTCGTCAATGGTCATATTTGTTTGATCTTAAACTACAATGAACTAAAGTCTTTCAAGCGAATATGACAAATCAAGCGGACACAGTAAACAGTAGATCCCATATGGAGTAAGGTCGTGATAAAAAATGTATGCATATCTAACATCTATCTCAAAAAGTAAAAAAGTTTGTTTCGAGACTGATTGTGTACTTTTCTTTGGATCGATCGACATCAATATCTTGATCATGAAGATTTAAAAACTTTGATGAATTACCACATGTTTGGTTCCAGTAGTTCACCATACCAACTTGTCCCCTCCCATCCTTCCTAAGAAATTAAATCAAACACTTTGAAAAGTATACACAATGAGACACATGCATGGTTTTTTCTCATCAGTTCACAGAATAACTTTGAATTCAGTCCAAAAAGAACAGAAAAACACCATATGAAATATTGAAACTTCTACCACTTTTTTATGATCGAAAGTTACAAAATTGAGTCGATATTTCGATGAAAAACGCATTTGGACAAACCCACTTCAGCTATATTATTTCAAGTTAAACATTTGATAACAACATATACATACAGACATATATGTATACACACACAGCTGTTAATCATGAACTATTCAAACCTGCAATTACTAAGATAAATAGAATCAAGCTTATATGTATGTGTATATATATATATGTATGCATGAGATGAAATAGAAATTATGAAAAGAAAATAATGAAGTCTTAACTGATGAAAAGCGTAAGGATTTCTGTAAATGGGACCTCTGGGAGTGAAAGTAGTCCGATCAGTTAACCGCCATGACATCTTATAACTCCTCATTCGACCAGCTTCAAGTATGGCGACACGAGCCCTTGCCAACCGTTTCTCCACTCTCTCCTCCTCCTCCATCATCCCACAAACACAAAACCATATCGTCAATTACTTCATATAATTATATATATATATATATATATAAATATACATGTATGACGAGAGAATAATTCATAATCTGATCATTGATACTTACATGGTTGGTCGGTGGTGGTGGTGGTGGTGGTGGTGGCGCTGGAGAGGGTGAAATTGAATGGGTGTTTTGAGAAGAAAAAGTGAAGAAATCGAATTGGGTATTGAGGCAAATGAAGAAGAGAATGAGAAAGATTGCTGTGTACAAAAATGGTGATAATCTGTTTCCATTTTTCCAGCCATCTGTTGCCATGATTCTGGTGGTGGTAGCAGCAGCTAGGGTTTTTTAGAGAAAGATCTTCAAGCTCCCATCTTTTTCTGTATAACAAGTCAAATAAAAATTCGATACGTTGAGTCTTTTAACCGAAACATTTTTTTTTTAAGAAAATATTTTTTATGATGTTTTTACCAAATATAATTGCAATTACAGGCTGTCATTATTATTTCTAAAAATAAATAAAACACAAAACCAATGCCTTAATTTTTCGCAAAAACCAAATTAAAGATTGAATTATTTTGAATTTTTTATTCTATTAATTAATCAAAAAATGGTATTTAATGCATTTTTAAATTATCGATATTTTCAGGTTTGGAAAATATATAGTATCATAAAATGTTTATTTTCTTAATTAATTAAAATATTTAAATATTTAATATACATTTTGTCTGTAAGAAAACTGAATTTTTGAATCAGACGTTTTGGAGTCTGTATTTTCAATAAAAATCAAATACTAGTACCAGATAAGTGTTTTTTGAAAAAGAAAAAACAGTTTTAAACAATTTTTAAAATAAGATTAAATATTTTAAACTCAATAAGTAATTATTATTATTACAGAACACAATTATTTGTTATAATTAATACTTAATTTATTTTACAATGATGAGTATTAAAATTGAAATATTTATGAGCATAAATTAGTTATTTCTCTTATGAATCATTCAATCTGTCCATATTTTATAAAGTTGTCGTTAAAAATTAATTGTTTTTTAAGAATAATTATATTACACAATAAAAGTTTGGTTTTTATAACCTTTTTCCTATGATATTTATCAATATGTAATTTGAATAATATTCAGGTAAAAAGTTGATCACTAACAATCCGAACCGACTCCATATGAAACCTGTATCTACACCAACCAATGTGAGAATGCACATTTTTTACTTGCTCAACAGTTGAGGCTAGCCAAAGAGGGATCAAACCCGGGACCTGTATTATATTTGAACAAAGTTGTCTACCCTTTTGTCAACCGAGCTGCATGCCAGAGACATTATTTGAGTAATATTATAATTGAATTTGATAAAACTTTTAAAATTTGTTTCTTAAGAATATAACTGGTTAACTTTTTTTTAAAGTATATAATATTTATATACGACAAATGCAACAACTAAACTCACATACCTTCCTCACTTTTGGAGGCCAAAGTTACAATACTGCTAGGCCAAAGACTCTTTATATAACTAGTTAAGTTGTCTGACGTAGTTTTAATAACTAATTGTAACGTCTTTGTATAAAATATATGGCTATTGATTTTATAACTTAATTTTTTTTATTAAACAAGTTTGAACGATACATACGAGCAAAGAAATTTAAAGGATTTAACTCGAAAGAAACTAATATTAATTCTCAAACCATTATGTATAAATTTGTTTTAGAACCTTGTGAAGCTAGCTCAATTGACGATAATACTTGAGTTTTAGAGATTTTTCTCAGAAGTCACATGTTCAAGTCCTGCAAGTTACTGAGAATTTCTTGATTGTTCTCCAGAGTCTGTAGAATTAGTCAAGATATAGTACTGACCGAACACCCATTGTTAAAAAAAAAGGTTATAGAGATTGCTTTTAGTAGCTATCTTCTCCACATAACTACATGTCATGTGATATGAATTATAATGGGTTGATGTACATATGGCCTAAAATTCAAAGGAAATTAATTAAGTGATCCATTAAAATTGTGTGCTCATGTGTATTGTTTTATAAAATTATATCTATTTTTTTAGTAAATTTGGATATCTGATTGTTTATACATAGCACCTGATCCTCTAGATAACTAAATATAACTAGTTTGAAGTCATCGTAGATGAACTGTATGACCATAAAGATTCTGATAACGTCTTAATTCAAACAGAAAAATGGGACTTCCACTGCATTCCTTAATTTCACTCTTAACTAATTATATCCAATTTGTACATCATTCAGCCATCAGAGGAAGTTTTAGAGGCAAGTAAAAATGTGTTTGACAAGCCACAAGGGTGATGCCTGATTGTTTAAAGCTTGACTTCAAAGGTGAAAAATATCAAGAGATCTCATGTTCAAATCCAAGGAGGAATAAAAATCCCATTGTAGTCACGGAGATTCAAATGCGGTGACTCCGGGCTATCTACAAAGCAGGTGGTCGTCCTGTGATTAGTCGGCTCACATAGCGGTTTGGATATCCAGGTTAATAAAAAAAAATGTGTTTGACAAAAAAGTCTTATATTATATGGTTGACAAACTTTTAATGTTCCTTCAATAATTTATAACGACAGCATTCTACACATCCTCCTAAAAATAGAAACGATACATAATTATATATAAAACAAGAAGCTAACCTCACTAATTACTTCAACTATGAGATGTTTTTACGACCTCGATACCTCTCGATCGACTCGGTTTTTTCAGCGTATGTTTTTGTTTTCTGTTCGAAAATATCTGACTCAAACTCGAGACTTAATTTCTAGTTCGTAATCAAGTTAATTACGAGCTAGATACAGGCTGGGATTACGAATCTAGAATCTTTTGTGCAAGAATTTAGACCTTTAGAGTTCCTAGTTTCTCCATCGCATCGCTTAGTTGATTTTTCTTGCATCCGTCGGCTAGAACGACATTAGGACTATCGAAAGTAATAACATGTTCGAGAGGATAGCTTCGGTTGTTATGGAGTTTTTTAGATTCGTTGCAAACATCTTTTATCACCAATGTTTTATGTATTCCACCGCGTAAACATTCGTAATCGGTGTCCCCGTAATCTCCCACGATAACGACAGTACTTGACAAGTTTATGCCCCATCTAACGTGCAAGTACCTGAAGATATATAAAAAAGTTTTAGTAGCGAATCGACGCAATAAATAACTTTTTTACGAATAAAAAACAAATCCCGAAAAGGAAAACGGCTTACAACGAAGAATACCTGAGGGCTTGGGCTCGAGAAGCAACCATAGGTATCACATTCAGTTTCGTACCGTTGTGGCAATATATAGCTTGACAACGAAGAGCTTGTTTTCTCAAAAACTCCCGAAGGTCCTTTACGGGTGGTATCTGCAAAATATATATAGTCCGCTTCTTTTACAAACTCAATAATCCGTATAAACTTACACACAAATTTTCATATGTACGAAAATGCAGTGTTTGTGAACGTTGTTTTATATATGAAACATTCAACACTGTTTTTTCTCCTAATTGTTTGGGAGGCTCGACTCTACGGTAACCCCAGGTACCTTTGGGCTAGAGACCCTTATATTAGTTCCTATTAGATTGTCTAAGAGCTATAATCAGAAATCTTCCAAAGAATAATAGATCTAATGATAACTTACAGATTCCGAGTCCTTTATTCTGAATGTAAAACAATGTCTCGAGTCTGAGTCGTCTGCGACAACGAATTCTTGATCTTTCTTTCTTTCTCTAATAGAAGAAGCCCAATGAACTAAAGTATTCTTCAGGTGTTCTCCTCCCCAACGATAATCGATATGCGAAGAATAATCAGAATCCATGACTAACTGAAGACTCTTCTGACTTCCTTCGGAACTAGAAGGCGGATAAAAGATCTCGCTACCGCTATTGCAAATCAAAGCATCAAATTCCGAAAGACCGATTTTACTAGATTTCAGAAAAGAACGTAACTCAGATATCGTTGCAGCCGTTGATAGTATTAGTCCTACAGATTCTCCTTTCTTCTCTACTCTCACAATTTCTATGACGATATTCAAAAGTTCGACAAAATCTTTAGTCATGCCACAATCTACAGCGACAACGAAGATAGATTTCTTCCTGCGTAATCCCGGGAACTCGAGTTTATCTTGAGATCCAATCTTTGCTAAAGTTTCCTTCTTGCTTCCTCCGAGTTTCTCCAGTTTTAGCGATAATTTTGCTAGAAGATCTAGCTTTTTCCCGACGCTAGATTTGGTCTTGATTGAATGGGAATTCTTGTCGGGATTCTGAGAGTTGTCGCTGGTAGTTCCTTGATCATGTATCACGCCATCTAATGAAATCTTTAAGTCGTTTAGATCTCTTAGAGAATCTTCGGGTGATTGTGCTTCTGAATACTCGTATCCAACGGCACTACTTTCCCATTGTGGATGGCGTGGTTTGCAACATGCTATTCGAGCTAGATAAGTCTTGCAATGCTCCGGCCACGAGAAAAGATGAATGTTTTTCAAACCGTTTTGTTTACATCTCGCCCAAAGTTGCTTATCTGCTACGAGCTTCAAAAGTGCATCTGTGATCGATTGTTGATTGTGTGGATCAATTAGCAACCCGTTATCAAGAGCCTGTTGTGATTTCGGTTTCAGTATTAGAAACTAATGAAACATAGTTTTCTAAACTTCAATCAAATAGACAACAATCCCCGCTACAACAAAATTGGTTTTATACGGCGTCAAATACATCTAAATGTCAGACATTTTATAGGACTAAGTTTATAGTAGCAAACAGTGTGCATCATATGTGAAATTGTTACAATAAATTAATCGGATGTTTTTGAGTGTCCTAACAAGTTTTTAGGTCACGTTGGAAACAAATTTCCTATTAGTTTTTCTCGTGGACATTTTTTAGAATTGTCCTATTAACATATCTTTTTATATGACACTTGTTTTAAAAGGACAATTTATCAATAACGTCAAATAAAAAAACTAATAACATGTTTTATTTTAAAAGTGTCTTGAGAAATTATTAGGACTCCAAAAACAGCATATCAACTTACTGTAACTTTTAGACATATGATTCACAATTGTTTGGTCCTATAAACTTAAAGTCTTGTAATGCAGTTTATTGAATCATGTAGACATATCTGAAGTGTTACAGCCGATTTTGTTATAGTCTCTGTCTAGGAATCAAGAAAATGCACCTTTTGGATATCAACAGGACCTCCGTTTTTAGTCGCCACCATCGGCAAGCCATATGCTGCTGCCTATTCAGAACAACATTAATTCAGGTCGGATCAGGAAGTACTTGCTCCCTTGCTGGTACTTTTAGATTCTAAAGTAAAATTTTAACTTGAGGGGCCGTTTATCAAACGCTTACCAGGTAAGTACTTATCGCGTGTCACTTACCTTACCGGGTGAACATGACAAGGACCGACAATCTTACTCTGTAAGAGACATAGCAAAGACCAAGAATCTTTTTCGGTAAATGAGGAAAAAGACTCTTACCAACAATCTGGTTTGACGACCTAAGATTTTTACCCGATAAAGTAAGGGTGGTAACTCTTGCAAATAAACGCTTACCTAGTAAGAGCTCGTTAAAAATCCCCTTATTTGATCTTTAAAACGAGACAATAAAGGGAAAACTAGGAAGACACCTCTATTAGAGTGAGACCAAAAGGCTCAATGAATGCTGGATTGATGAACACACCCTACATACGAGTAACAAAGCGAAAATCGTCAAGACGAAAATCTAATTAACAACGATATGTTATTACCACAAGATAATATAAAACCGATTTTGTTGCAATGGAATATCTTAATCATATTGGCTTTAGAAGTACTACCTTTGTCCTTGCTGCTAGGCGATATATATCAGGAACTTCTGATTGCTTATGGTGTTTCGGATACGAAACTTGACCGTACATATCATATTTATCGATCAACTTCAGAATCGAAACTAAAACTGCTGAATTTGTGGTAGACATTTCGTCAATAGCGTCACGATTTCCCATTATCAATGTCTGCAGTGAAGTATGTAAAGATAAATGAAATTAACATCATAAAAACGAAGAGCGAAAATGAAAAAAGAAACCAACGAATACGTACGAGGTTTGCAAGCTCCCTCAAAGGACGACACTCTCCAAAAGCTTTCACCAAAGTGGTCAAGTTCTTTTTCGGATCGGGTCTTGCAAGGGCCAGGATTATAGGCTTGTGTGGATTCGTAAAGAATCGCATAATCTGTCAAATGTAATACCAGAAATTGTCGTTATCTTCTTCGATAAACTTATAATGATCATTAACATTCAATCAGATACCAAAGGTTGTTGGTCCAGTGGTATCTGTACTACCGGTAGAGTCCAGCCTCGTAGAAGATCAAGGGTTCATACCTCATTAAAGATGAGGAGTGTGTGTGAGTATTTATAGAAAAAACATTCAACCAGATCTTGGTGCATTCTGCTTATTAACAAACCTCGGACCAAACGGGTGGGTCTGGAGTCGTTGAACCATCTTGATTTCCGTCTGGATCTTCGTCTTTATGTGGAACGATATGCTTAAACTCCATTCCTGGAGGTATTACCTGAAACCCAATAAGTCATAAGCAAATTTAGCGCCAAACTAACTATATATATATATGTCGTCTAAATGTTACAATAGACTGCTTTTTGGAACTTAAGTTTATAGATTACAAAACATTTAGACATGTTTGATATCCTATAAAAACGATTTTTGCTATAGTGATTGAACATGGTTTGGGGTAAGAAAATACTTACGACCGGACGGGGCATGAACCGGCCAAAACATCCCACATTCCGTCTGTTTCTAGCTCGTAGTTTTCGCTCTAGAACAGGATCAAACCCATCGTACAAACCCCATTGCTCATCTATCTCTTGCCGGGTGCTAGTAATAATCACTTCTGATGCATCGATCGTTATCTCCTCAGCCTCTATCCGCCGCATAATTCTATAAGTCGTATTGATATCATCCTTCGATTGCCGTCCTTGTTTCAAGATTTGTTCGAGTTTATCTCGTCCAAGTGAATGGCCCGTAAATAGCATCGGGACATTCAAAGCACCCGATAAAAGAGCAGCAGCATTGCCTGCATCTGCGTAATGTCCGTGAATCGAAGCGGGCCAAACGGGTTTTCCATCACCAATTTGGTCAGCGAGAACTTTCGACATCTGTAAAATGTAACTCAACGCACCATCAACGAACTCAGAAATGTGTGGCCAAAGGAGTTCTTTCGGGATATATTTATCTTTTGGACCGAATGGTATACGGATTATGTATGCACCACTGCTCTCGCCACTTTCGCCTTCATCTATGTTAAGTGGATTTAGCATTTCGGTTGGTTCTCCATAAGACCAATCGACACCGGGTGCCGATACTTGTCGAGTTAGCAAATCTACTCGATAAACCCCGGGCATTGCGCCTAATGCCCTTGCTAGTTCTACTACATACTTCACCTGTAAAATTAGATGTGTTAGCAGAACATAAAAGTCTATTGTATGCGGTCGCTACATAAAACTTCATCGGCAAATAGGTATTTGAGCTATTGCCGATGACAATTTGTGTTGCGACCGCTCACATTTTACAATAAAACCGACTTTATAGGACTCTAAATAGGTCTAAATTAGTTTGTAGGGACTTAAGTTTAAATGACCAAATAATTGTATGTCCTATATATAGGTATTACAATAAGTTGATAGAATGTTTGAACGTCTTAACAAGTTTTATAAGACATTTTTGTAATAAAATGTTTAATTGGTTTTTTAATAGGACACTTACGATAATTTTTCTATGAACATGTCGATTCTTCTATAAGACAATTTTCCAAATAATGTCATATAAAAAGACTAATAGGACGTTTTATTTAAAAAATATCCTAAACAACTTGTTAGGACGTCCAAAAAAATCGTATCAACTTATTGTAATACTTTGACATAAAACACACAATTTCGGTCCCATAAACTTAACTCGTATAGATGTATCATATATGACATTTAGACATTTATGACGTCTTATAAGAACGATATTGTTGTACTGGTCAAATGATCAAACTATAGATAAAGGTTACCTGTCCACCCGTATCAGAATCGCGGCCTAGCTCCATGTTTTCGCCACGAATCAGACCATGAAGACTGGATAAAAATTTCGGTTTTATGAAACACATACGATAAATTATAACGAAAACAAATATTATTGAAGATTAAAATAAGAAAAACACATGCCTGATTAATACGATGTAGAGTTTCTTTTCCTTTTGTTGAGTAGCAAAGTTGTTGAACACGTCAACCGAATTAACCCGTTTCAATCCGCCTTTAGGGCTAACGCCCATTGGCGAAAGATCTTTAACCGTTTCCACTTTCTCTCCTTCGGATAACTCTTCTGACATATCAACAATCAACGCTTTAGAAATCATCCCTTGTCCGCTTTCTAGTTTCTGTCTATGTTGAGATTCTTTGCCTTCTAGCTACATATCCAAAACAAAAAGGCGTTTTTAAACGAAGAACACAACATCAAGAAAGTAGAGGTTCTACGATCACAATGGAGTTGCAAATGAATGTCGTTCATATGTTCATAGATCGTATAATTGTCTATAAACAAGTTTATAAAGTTCGAACTTTATGTGATAATAACCAAGTAAAAATTGTTAAATTGAGTTCGAACATTCGTAAAATATTCTTAGAACCCATTTGAAAAAATTAGTCAAGCTTGAGGATTAAGATACTATTTTTTTTCGTGTTGGAACCAAGACAATTTGCTAGTCGAGTTCACTCGTTAGCACTCTACTTGTATCGAGCCTTGGGCTCGATAATGACTTGATCAGTGACAACCTTCAACTTCGTTTTTTTAATAAACATAAAGAACCAATAACAAACCTGTTTCTTTTTGCGAGCTAAATTCCAAATCCTCCAACACATATTCTCTAATCTTGTGTTTCGTTCTTGTGAATCCCGAATAGACGAGGCCTGCAAATATTTGAAATGTAGATGTTTGTTATTTCGATGATTTATCAACCCTTTATCATATAGAAATAGTCTAAAAGTAAGAAACCATGAAAACCAGTTTATATGCGTTGTTTCATAGATGAACCAACAAAATATGACTATTGAATGTTGTTTCATAGCTAAAACTTTATGAAATAATTTACAAGTAAATAAACACCAAAATATATTTATACAGGAAACATACATTCATATTTACTGAGAAAAAAAAAAGATATATGAAACAATATAAATCACAGCTTCAAATCGAACTGGTTGATCTTCATGCTTTTAGATACTTTTTATATGATTTGCAGTGTTACGATAAATTTTATAAAACGTAAAATATATAATTTTCTGTTAAATGAACCTATTTAGAGAAAATAAGATAAATACAGCATTTTTGTAATTATTATAAAACTATAATCATAATAATTTGTTGGTTGATTGGATTATGATCCAAATATATTTTTGATTAAATTAATTGTTTCCAATAAAAAATATATTAATTAGGGTTACGTACCATGGCCCATGAGCGACGAAGATCGGTCTCATCAAATTTCGTGATAACTTCTTCGACGAAGTAGCGAGTGGGGCTAAATTTCCCTCTTTCCCTCAACATCAACGACGAATTCTTGTCTTCAAGCCCTGGACCCACATCCAGGATCGCTTCCAGGTAACTGTTGATCCAATCGTTTCCCGCCATTTTTACCTTTTTCAATCACTATGATTTCTCTATTGCATATCGATTGATTGATGCATGTATGAATCCAATGCGCTAGGTTTTGATGAATTTCTTGTTTGTTTGATTGAGGTTTGATGACGAATTTTTTGTGATGAAAATGTGTGAACTGAGACAATGTCTAGATTCGGTTTGGCTGTTTGTAAACGAGTGATTAACGTTTAGCGATGAATTGGGAGGAATATGGCGAGTGATTATGAATAATGGAGGAGAGAGAGAGTTTCGCAGGGTGTACGGAAAACCCGCCATAGGACTTGCTAATGCATGATAACGCATCCGGTTTATCCGACTTTCATAATCGGGTTGGATCGAGTTTGATTTACTCAGGGTCATCGATCACGACCACGGAGAAATGTGATCGTCGGTGAGAAATCGGATTAATGACTACTGTAAGAGGAGAAAGAGTAGTAGGGACTGATATTGCCGTAATTATAAATTAGGGACTAAACGTGCAATTTTCCAAAGGTACACTACCTAAATCATGACATTGATGAACCGAATCGTCTTGAAAGTGCCTCCTGTAATTAATACATACTGAACCCTTCCTTCTATAATCAATCAATGAGAGATTGACCCTTTCATTTCAATGGAACAGAAAAAATCTTGAAGTTCCACGAATGCATTATGTTAAAATCCATTTGGTGATCGATTGACCATTTTAACCATTGCTCTTTCATTACAAAGTAGTTATAATGTAAGAAGAAACATGTAACACCAAACTTAAACATTTGTTCTTTCAAAATTACTGATCATTATTGCCGGTTATTATGTCTTTGGTTATCTTCTCTAAGAATTGGTATTTGTTTGTAATGAAAAGCAAAATCAATCCTGTGTGGGTAATTTATATTCATTAACATCTTATATTTTTAGTTATTTGTTGACCCTAGATTTCTTTTTCTTATTGTTATTATTATCAAGTCACAAGAAACAAATTGTGTAATAAGCTGCTGACTGCCATGAGAGCTCCTCCAAGCAAGTGCAAACCTCCTGCCTGCTTCTTCAAATTCATTCAACCTGGTCTCAAGTGCAAGTTGGTCAATCTCTCTCTCTCTCTCTCTCCAAAATCTGTTAATTGGTAGTGTAATATATATATATAGTGAGAGAGGAGGTTTGAAATACAAACAACATGTAATTCTTACAAACCATAACCAACACGTATACTAGGAAACTGTCGAGATATTTATGGACAATAATCATGATTCATTCCATGATCGAGATATTTATAGAAGATGATAAGGTTCATTCATTATGATTATGGCTTTAGATTAGAAAACAATCGAGATATTTATAGAACCAAATATTTATTAGACTAGATGGACGGTTAAGATTGGTTTGTAAGAATTACATTGTTTGTATTTTAAACCTCCTCTCTCTATATATGTTGAAAGAGGATGGTGCCTCTTGCAATTTCAGTGTATGATCTTGTCAGGCACGTTGGAACCATTTCCTTGAATTGCTGCCCATTGGGTATTTGTATGTATTGATTGGTTGTACATTTGTATTGGAGTTACACTTCACGCGTTAGCTTGGACCCTGATAAACCACTTTGTCCACTGCTCTCTCTTCTCAGATGCCTTATATACAGTGATGAATTGAACATCTGAACACTCTGCAAGTTTTGCTTTACATATATGACGCTCTTCTAGAAAAGGAGTCCATTTTTCCTTTTGAATATGAAAAACATCTTTGCAGGTTCATAATGGAGATGAGATTTTTCAAACATGGACTACTAATTACATCGGACAAAATTATTATTAGATTGAAATTGTTCATGGGTAAAAATTAACAACATTAATATCTATTCAATTTTTATTATTAGATTGAAATTGTTCATGGGTAAAAATTAACAACATTAATATCTATTCAATTTCAAGCTAAGGGCCTGGTTGGTAAATGTTGAATGATTTGGCACTGAATGATGAAGAAGCTTCGTATGATTTAGTGCAGAATAAAAAGTTGTTGTTGGTAAGTGTTTTGAATGTACAGGCTGAATGACAGAAAGTTACTATTTGAACTCTCTGTATGATTTTAGTACCGAATTAAAAATGGTTTATTGGAAACTGTGTTCTGAATTAAACAATTAGCTTGCATATGTATAACTTTGCAAATATTGATTACAAGTATAAATTACCGTATTTCACTTTGCTAATATAAATTATAAACATGATATTAGTTGCCCAAAACAACATATCATACTAATCCTATATGTGACTTTGAAAATGTATGTATCATGATGCATATGGTTAATTTATTATTTTTATTTTATTCAAGTAACACAAACAACATATATTGTCATAATATTAGTTTATTACATAAGCAAGTGTTAGTTTATTAGAATATCAATTACTAAAGCAATTTTAGCTTGGTTGATCTTTCTCATCCATGTGTTTGTTGAATGTCAACTTGTTTTAATTGCTCTTAATATCAACTTTTTATGCTTTGGTGGTATTATATAGCTTTTCATTGTTGTTTTTAAAGTAAATTAAATACACCTACAAATTGCACATTATGAATATATTATGGTCAAATGGATGGGGAGTCGTATTCGTTCCCTAACGTCATGACTTGCCATGACGTCATGACAACTGTAGTACTTACATATTGTATGTGCATATGTTGCAGTCAATACCTAAAGCATTCACCAAACATTTGAAAAGCAGAAGGAACAACAAAACTGCCATATTAAAAAGAGGGGGTCAAAAATGGCCGGTGAAGATTGTTGACCATTGGGTGTTTGGAGAAGGTTGGGAAACTTTTGTGAGAGGAAATGGTGTGCAAGATTTTGATTTTGTGTTTTTTAAGCATGAAGGGGATTTAGTTTTCGATACCATCGTCTTCAATGCTAGTTGTTGTGAAAGGGACTATCCAAGCAATAAAGTTACGATAATCGAAGCAGAAAAAGCATGCCCAGAAGCAAAATCTTTACGTAACTGTATAATTGACACCTCCGGTGAGTTCATTTTTTCCATATCCTTGATGCAAATTTTATTGAAACCCATTAAGATTTGAGTTTGTATCAAAAGTGCTAATGAATGTGGACACGAATTTGTAGCATCAAAGAAAATCCCCAAAGGGAAGGATACATACACCACAAGGATCTCCAGTTTTTCCAAATTTGGTGACTACCCTTGTTTTAGAACCACTGTGTTTCCCTATATTGCATAAATGTCTGTGTTGTCAAGTATATACCATGTGCGCAATACAACGATGATTATACAGAGTGCATAGTGATACGCAACAAGTTAGTAATAGACTAATGTTGGCCCAAATGATTGATGGTCCTAAAGTGTGGAGGCTTTATACTAGAAGGCTCAAGGGTAGTGGGGAAAAAGGAATGTGATCTGGCAAAGTTATTTAGGCCTTTTTTTTTATTAACCTGGATATCCAACCCACTATGCGAGCTGACTAATCCCAGGGTGACCACCTGCTTTGCAGATAGCCCGGAGTCACCGCATTTGAACCTCCGTGGCCACAAGGGGATTTTTATTCCTCCTTGGATTTGAACCTGGGACCTCCTGGTACTTTTGACCTTTGGAGCCAAGCTCAAACCAATCAAGCACCATCCTTGTGGTTAAGTTATTTAGGCCTTGGGAGTAGAGAAGTTAGATATATATAGTGGAGTGCTGGGGTGTGGAAAAAGGGAGAGGAAAATCTCCAATTTTGGGGCGGCTCTGAGCTTCATAGCTTTGAAAGAGGGTTATACCCTGGAAATCACTTTTTATTGATGTTCCTTCTTTGACTACTCTTATTATCAATCTATCCATTCATCTTCTTCATTAAAATTTTGTTGTCGGTTTGAGTTTCTCAACACCCTAGGACCTCTAGTTTTGCCAAATTTGGTAAGTACCCTTGTTCCAGAACCACTGTGTTTCCATATATGGCATAGAGTTTGTGTTGTCAAGTGTATACATGTTCAATGCAACTTTGATCATGCTCAGTGCATAGATAGCCTTACCCTTTGACACTTAAGCACTTATGTATGTATATGATGTATGAGTATAGATTTGTTAACCAATGTGGATTTGTTCCCATATGTTCCTTTCCAAAGGTATATGAATTGGACAATAGGAACTATTAAATGATTTGGAGGATGAACAACAGTTGTAAATTTAATGAAGCATGACAAGAGCTATGTCTGCATAGAAGGAATACAAGACTTGCTAATTGCAAATGGCTTGAAGTAGGTAGACGAGATCATGCTTGAACTTGTTGGGAATGGAATAAGCCTCTCATGAACATCCATACTGAAACCTCCTAGTTTCTCTCCATAGTATATAAGTTGTAGCTTACAGCAAATCAGTGCATCAAGACATGATTTTTGATGAAACTTGCATAACATGGTAGATTCACGACTGATTCAGGACTTCGTTGATTCAACAGAATACCAAAGTCGAAACCATGTTTGATTCACAATTTGTTGATTCCAAAGAATACCAAAGATGAATCATGATCTCACAACTTTGTTGATTCAAAGAATACCAAAGATGAATTGAGAGAGTTGGTGATCGGGTGATAGCTGTGACGACGACAGTGGTGGGATGGTGGTTGGGATTGGGTGGGTATGATGGCGACAATAGTTTCATGGTGGTTAGTGGTGGGTTGGGGTAGGGTGGGGTGGGGGTGAATGGCAATTGTGACGGCGACAATAATGGTGTGGTGGTGGGGGTTAGGTTAGGGGCGTGACAGTAACGGTAGTAGCATGGTCGTAGTAGGGGATGTGCATTGAGTGACCGGGGGATGGGTGGGTGTAATAACAATAGTAGGGGCNAGTAGGGATATGCCGTGAGTGATCAGGGATGGGTAGGTGTGATGACAGCAATAGCGACATGGTGGTTAGTGTTGGGGGTGGGTGGGTGGCGGCGACAGTAGTGGTGGTGGGTTAGGGGTGGGGCATGACGAACAATAGTAGCATGGTTGTGGTGATGTAATTCAACTCCTTCCATTATGCCAAGGAATGGTGAATTCATTAATTTGTGGAATTCAATGGAATTGAAGGATTCCATTCATTTCAAGAAATGAATCAAACAAAGGAATTGGAATTTGGTCAAAGGAATTTGTCATTTCAATTCCATCAAATTCCTTTCGAATTCCGCGAACCAAACGGCCCCTAAGTTTTATTAGTCAATCAATCCGAATAAAATCAGAACAACAACATTATATTTAAAGACTAGAAATCCTAGATAGATAAGGAAACCAAATATATATCCAAGGGCAAAGGGAAAAGATATTCATTCTGAATCCTAAAAGTTTAAATTCTAAACTCTGAAAGAAATTTAAAAAATATCCTGACAAACGGAGAAGTGTAGATTTGACCCCTGAAATCCACTTGGAAAAGTGTATATTTTTGCCAAAATCGACATTGTTGACCTTCGTGTATTTCAAATAGGCCATAAACTCTCATTTTTCTCATACTGTGCATCAGATAGTTGACACTTCTTTTGAAGCATATAATTATATACAGAAAATACTCATGTACGCTCCTCATCTTTGGTTAAGTTTGAACCCTTGAGCTCCTGAAAGGTTGGGCTCTACCAGTTGAGGAAGCTCTAAACAGTAGTTGCTAATGGAACCCAAAAGAACGTCGTTTGAATGATCTTTGTATAGCAGCAAGGATACCATAATGTTACAGCCAAGCCGTAAGGTTACACCCTTGTAAAACTGGTGATAAATTGGCAAATAAGTTTGTGATGAAATGGTTGATAATTCTTCTTTAATTGAACTATAAAAAATAAGCAGGATGTAATGTTGCTTTATTAACAGGGTGCAATCTTTTGCGGTTTGTGGAACTGCAACTTTTGCCTTTGTAAGAAAGTCAAAGACATCTTCTTATGTACTATGCATGGAATGTTGTGTAAGAAGTTGCTTACATTCAGTTTTATGTTTGTCATTTTTTTTCATATTTATACATGTTATAATCTGGAGCATGTTCCTAATTTATGTTTTTGTGAAGGCTCAGAAACTGGAAACAAGTTGATCCGCTGTCATAGTGAAGCAGACGGCTCAAATTTGATAGACATATCAATGAAGTCCCTCCTCAAGGCTGAAGGAACTAGGATTCCTGATCAAAATCATCATCCTTGCTTCATTCGCACTTTGAAATCAGCTACCTCCAAACATAAATTGGTAACTACATGGTACTCCATCCCCCCCCCCCCCCGGGCCACAAAAGAATCGCGGCACATTTTGACATTTGAGGAAAAAACGTTGATGTTCAGTTTATAAAAATCCATATAAACTGAGTTCAATAAGTCAATTGACCTCACTAGACAAAATGTACCCTTCTGCTGTAGCGGGTGACATTCTTCTTCTTTTGTTTAATTGTAGCAAACGTGCGCATTAATGTTTTGGTGTTGCAACTGCCAACCGTTTTTACTAGGTCAAATGGATTAAATAATGGAGAGATGACTCTCAGAAATGGTCAAACACAAATGCTGTGGATGGTTTACTTAAAAATCATGTTTGAGAAGATACTCTCACATAGGACCAGGATGGAATGACTTTTGTATTTGTGAATGGCCTAAGAGAAGAAGACTGTTTTAAGCTTGAACTCTTCCGAACTGGAATCAAGCCTGTAGTAAATCTTTTATCGTAGGATATTATCATCATATTTCTTTTATTCACTCAGGTGACATATTTGACTTTTTGAAGTCAAACATAATACTTCCTTATTTTGAAAATTGATATGCTTTTGTTACAAATTTATGATAACCTATATATTTAGTAGTATTTGGTTAAAAATGTACCGTGTTTATCAAATTTTACTTGATCTTTCAAGGAATAGAACATCAATTTTGAGGTTGAAAGTTAGCTCGTTTGACCTCCAAACTCTACATCTTGTCCCTCTCTTTTGCATTAGATCTTAGAACCAAGCTGTTTGAGTGTCATAGAACGGTGGAAAACTGAAGGCTTAAATTGTCATTGTCATGGCATCTCATACTTGTTCTGTAGTTGATCTTTAAGAAATGTGAAAATGGTTGATCTGTTTGATGTAGTATCTGCCGAAGGCCTTCGCATTATCGAATGGATTAATTAATGGAGAAATTATCCTAAAAAATGTGGAAAATGAAGGTTCGTGGAAAGTTAACATGACTAACTATTGTGGCGAGGTCTTCTATGTTCATCATGGATGGCGTGAATTTTGTATTGCAAACGGTTTAGAGCAAGGTGATAGTTTTCAGTTTGAGCTCATTAAGAAAGGGGAAAAGCCTGTTGCCAATATTTCAAGTATGCATATATTAAAATTAATTTACAAGCTGTCACTTGTTTTCATTTATAAGATTTCCTAAAACAAAACAATTTTGTGCCTCAGGAATATCAAAGAAAACCCCAATGGTGAATGCTGCTCACAATCCTTGTTTCAAGTCCACCGCTACTCCATATAGCATCAAGAACTCTCTTGTGGTAATTCAACTTAAATATTGCAGCTGTTATACCCATATTTTTTATGACCATGGGCTTCTTAGAAGTTGATTCCACCTAGATGGGTTTGAACTTGAGTCTATGTGCTTCATGAGTCACCAAGTGAAACTGTAATCTGCTAGGTCCACTCTTGAGGTTAGATGCTATACTCATATGATAATGTTGGTTTTACTAAGTGTATCAATGGTTGTACCATTGTTTTTTATGTTTGCAGAATATTCCATCGGATTTTGCAAGATCAAATGGATTGGACAAAAGAAACTGTGAAATGATTGTGATGGATGAAAAGCGAAGGCTTTGGCCAACAAAACTCTGCTGCAAAGATAATCGTGTCCGTATAAAGGGATCTCGGGAAATGCAGATTGCAAATGGATTGAAGGAAGGAGATGAGTTCTTATTTGAACTTGTTGACAAAGGAAACAAGCCTCTTATGAACTTCCACAGTAATCTCTCTCTCTCTCCCCCTTTTAACCTTCAAGTTACCCAGGATTTAATGTGTGTTCCCTATCAAGTGATTAGCATTTCAGAGCATTATAATTGCCATTTTGATCTTAGACAACCAACATACTCCGGAAATGGGGAAAAAACTAGAACTTCAATTTGAAAAATCAGCAAACTGAAGAACAATGAACAAAGCAGTAGTTTGGCAACTGGGGCGTTTTTTTCAATGTTCTCTAATGGTGGTAAATCGGTAATGTTGTTACACTTCTTTTTGCCGATTCGAGTATCTGTCTTCTTGCGTTGCACAAGTATGTTGGATTTCAGAAATAATAGTTGGAAAAGCTAATCACTTGTACAATTTGTAGGTCACATTTCTCTTCTTTTTCTTATGTGGTTTGATATTACATAGGGTAAGCATACGATGCCACTAAATGTAACATCAAACTTATACCTTATGATGTGGCATTGTAATGTGGTATGATAGTGAGTCCTATTTTCTATTTTTCCTAACTGTTTTATTATTTAATCATGTCATGTTATCGCGGCATGCAGAGACGAACCCATATTTTTTTTTTCAAACGGTGGCATCATTTGACCATAGGGGTGAAAGCTATAGAAAATTTTCACAAAGTCATGATAGATTAGTTGTTGGATGCTTGTGTTTACAATCAAAGGTCATTAGTTTGAGTCTTTTGGCAGCTGCTTTCATCCTTTTTTTGAAATAGAAACCCAGTATTTTTAAGCTAAAAACAGGAATTTTGCTGAGGGTAGGATTTGAACTCAGGCTTTTTTGAAGAGCAAAATCTTAAACATGGCGCCTTACACCAACTCTGTCGTAACTTTAGTTGTAAGAAATAAAGGGGCACACAATGAAACATTAAGTTGGCACCCTTCTAGTACGTAATTTTTTCCACTATGACAGAACCATGAAATGGTGGCATGGGTCACCGTATTCCCCAATGTAGGTCCGCCCGTGGCGCCATGTCATAAATTATGGCAAGTTTAATGCATGTCATATATTTTCCCTATCACAAATTGATCAAAGTTTTATACTTCCTTCTTCTGGAAACAAAAGCATTGTTTGTTCAAGCACCTAGTTTAATGGAAGTCTTCACTCAGTCAAAAATCTAAAATACTAGTCCGTAATAACAAAATATTGGAACTTTATCTTATATCGACTATTAATAAATTCAGATTAATTATCGATGGTTGAAGAGGTTGTTTTGGATTAGAACGTTGCCAAGGAGAGATATGCTGTAGGCTTAACCGAGCACACCTGAGCTTGCGTAGGTTCATCCCTGGGTATAGCCATTACAGGTCATCAGTAAATCCTTGTAAAACAGATATGCACATGCCTATCAAGCACTTTTTATCATTATTGTTTCAACGAATTTGTTAATTTTGATGTTTAAATAGCCTGTTGGTTTTGAGATTTGTTGTTTGACAATGACCTGAAAAAAGTAGATATTTTTAAGTTTAAGAACAAGAGCAAGCTTAACATATTTCCTTTTTATCATTTTCTTGCATGTATTTTCGTGTGAGTTGGTCATTCTAGTATAATTTTTTAGTAGCAATCACTTAATTATTGCATAAAAAGTTGCATTATATGCTGAAATGTGTTCTGTATCATTGTTGAACAATCTTGCAGTTTTTGGTGATATGTAACCAATATCGTTGTGGGAGTCGTACGTCAACAATCATTCTCTGCAAATTTGTTGTAGCTGTCTACATAAACAGTTGTACTATATATGCAAACATGTGTTTTATGCTGCTAATTATTGACAACCTTTTATTGCTATATTTTTACTACCTACATTATCGTGGGAGTAGAAATTAAACAGTCATTTTGCACAAATTACTGGTATTAGTTGCTTACTAATGGAATATAGTAATTGTATAGTTAAAAGAAGTGTGCTTTATATTCATTGCATCTGTTGTTGTACATCTATAAAGTTACTATTGACGATCATCTATCATTGTTTTTTAATCACCTATAATCATCGTAGGAATAGAAGCTAAACAGTAGTAATATTGCACAATCTTTAGAATCATTCAGTTACGGGTAAAAAAAAGTTGTATTACATGTATACATATGTTTTATACTGCTATTGTTGATCAATTTAGCAGTTGTTGGCGATCTTCTAATGCTATATTTTGACTAACGGCTACTGGTTCTTATTAACCTCTTTGTTTTACTCGATAGGGGCATGAAAACGATTCAGCAGTCACCGGATCACCCGTTCTTGGCGAAGTTGACTTTAAATGAAACAGGAAAGAATGGGAAGCAAGAATGTTGACATTTTGGCATAAGGTGTTGAAGAAGCAGTGTTTTTTTGGTAGTTAAAGATGTGGAAAATGGGTCACTTTTTCTGATTGTTGTTTTAATTAATACATGGGGGTATTTTGCTAATTGCTTAAAGTAGAGGGACGTATTGCAATATTATGCTTTTGAATCATGTTAGTTGATGTTAAAAACCTTACAATGTTGGTTTGAACCGCGGTTTTTATTATTTAAAACCGCACTACAAAGAACAGTTTGATAAAAATGCATGTTGCACCGTGAGGGCCAAAACCGTGTGGTGTTGTGTCGTGTTGTGTATCATGTGTTGTGTGTCGTGTCGTATGGTGTGATCTTTTGTGGTGTTATGTCGTATGGTTGATCTCTTGTGGAGTCATGTCGTGTGGTGTCGTATATCTAGTATCAATGAGTAACCAAACAATTATTAGGGAAACACACCCATGCTTTTCTCATGTGAGTACATCCATCTTTCGCACCGTTTTTGTTAGTTTCTGAATATCCTTACAAAATATGTTACAAAATAGTTACAAATGGTCATGAAATGTGCTATCAAATAGTTATGATTTATGAAATTTTTACGAAACAAATCATGTTACAAAATGGCTTTATAACTTAGAGGGAATATCGATTGTCATGATGCGTCTACAACGGGACCACCTTTGTCAACGATACCCTTGAGTGAATACCGGTCGAAAGCTTGTCAACCTGATTATAAAAGCTTGTCCTTCTTCATTCGCAATTACAATTGGGTACGTTTATTTTGTTTTTCCTTGAATTTTCTGTAGGAGCCCTAGTCTCATAATCACTAATCTTGTTGTTAGATACATGATTTTCCAATAAAATTTTAGAAAATATTAAAAACATTTGTTTTGTAATAATTGATTAATAGAAATTTAATTTAATTATTTTTATAATTTTTTATAATTTTTTTTATAAATAATGGAATCCAATTTCATTCCAAATCCTACAAATCAAACATATCAACGATTTCAAATCGATTCCAATCCAATTCTCTACAAATTCAAATCCATCCATGAAATTCAAACATCTGATAAACAATCAACCAAACCATAATGACTCTAAAAGTATTAAAAACTAATGAGTCTCCAAAATTCATATATCATATTTAGAGAGATGAAAAATAAATAAAACATGACTTAAATATAACAAACAGAAGTTTAGGGGCTAAAAATGCCAATTTTGTAAACTTCTTTAGAAACACGCGGATCCTCTTTTGGTCTGACCTACCCCATGACCTATCCCCACCCGGTTTAAGGCATTTGGGTTATTTAGTTGGTTTCCCCTTCACCCGATCATCAAATACCCAGGCTTAGCGCTCTCTTTCTCCCTCTCCCTCTCCCTCTCCCTCTCTTCCTCTCTCCCACTCTCCCACACACACAGAGCACCGCTCAGCACGTACCCCGTCGAAACAGAAACTGACGAACTTGAAGGAATTCTTGGAAATTTGTGTTGTGGAATGTAGCGATTAATCGATCATCATTTTTGGTAGGTTTTGTATGATTTATGTGTTGCAAGCATGCGTGTTGAGAAGTTGTTGTTTCCAGGGTTTTTTGTGAATCTGATTATTGTATTGTTATTATTTTATTTCCTTTTTTGAGTGTGATCATGTCTGTTTTGGCTGTGTCGATATGCTCATATGCATGACTAGGGTGGAGATAAATGGCTGTTAGTTATTTACTCGAAATATTGTGCATGTAAATTTCTTTGAGTGATGTTGAGGGTTTGCCAATGATTCTTGGCTAGGGTTTTCATATGTGTTTACATTCTTTTTTTTCTTATGTTATTTCTCAATATTATTTTCGTTTATACCTAGGCGATCCCATAACCTGCAAGAAAGTTCTTTCAGATTTTTCTTTGTTGTATTTATTTTCTCTTTTTCTTTGTTGTATTTATTTTCTCTTTTTCTTTGTGCATTCTAGTTGATATTCATATCCATTCTTATTTGATTTTGTCTCTTGTAAGTACCGAGATTTTTATTTTGATAAATGCACTCTCCTTTGATTCCGTTCTTACTCTAGCAGGCCTCCACTTTTTCCGTTTACATGGTTTTCCTCTACAAAGGTTCCAAGGGATTCTGGTCTTGACCATGACGTTCTTCCGGCAGACTTTGGTTCCACTGTTAGATGGTTTTTCTTGTGTGTGGCTCTTGAAGCTTTTGCATTTCATTATCAAGTTTTCCTGCTTTGCTAATTCCATCTCCTTCATGGATTGATTGCTTGGTTGGTTTCCTGTATTGTGGCTGCATTATTTTCATCTAGTGTAACAAATATCTTTGAAAGTTGAATTTTACTAAGCTTTTTATTCTTCACTTCCTTTATTACTTTGATCTTTTACTCTCTCAAGCCTCCACTTTCTCGCTGACGCGGATGTCTTCTACAAAGGTTCCAACCGAATCCGGTAAACCTGCTTTGACCTTGAGGTT